CCCCCTCCCCCACCGGCCAACGCCCACCCCATGCAAGCCCGCTCCAAGGCCGGTGTTTTCTGCCCAAAACAAATCTTAGACCTCCACACCACTACATCCATCTCTCCCTTACCCCCAACTTACCGTAGTGCTATGAAAGATCCAAATTGGCATGCTGCTATGTGTGATGAATATAATGCTTTGATAAAGAATGACACATGGGAACTAGTACCCCCCCTCCCCCAACCAAAACATAATCACCGGTAAATGGTTCTTTAGACACAAATTTGGCTCGTCCAGTGAGTTATCCAGGTATAAGGCCCGATGGGTGGTCCGCGGATTCAATCAACGTTTTGGCGTCGACTACAGCGAAACCTTCAGCCCCGTGATCAAGCCTGCCACAGTCCACATCGTCCTTAGTCTCGCGTTGTCTCGTGGGTGGCCCATCCATCAGCTAGATGTCAAAAATGCCTTCCTCCATGGACAGCTTCAGGAAACCGAGCCCTCAAGATTTCAGGATGCCGATCGACCATATCATGTTTGCCGGCTCAAGAAAGCTTTTTATGGCCTGAAACAGGCACCCCGGTTATGGTATCACAAATTTGCAGGTTTCATTCAGACTATTGGATTTCGCGGATGTAAATCTCACACATCTCTTTTCATCTTCACGCATGCATCGGGGACCGCCTACCTCTTGTTATATGTTGATGACATCGTACTCACTGCCTCCTCGCCAGCAGTCCTTCAGAGTCTCATTCAGAAACTCAAGGCTGAGTTTGCCATGACAGACATGGGTGATCTGCACTTTTTCCTCGGCATCAATGTCCATCGCACTGCTCAGGGCCTCTTCCTTCATCAGACACAGTTCATTCACGACATCCTTGAGCGGGCAGGGATGGTCTCCTGTCACCCCATATCTACTCCAGTCGACACAAAGGCAAAGCTTTCCTTCTCCTCCGGCACGACACTTCCAGATCCTTCTCTTTACATGTCCATAGTTGGTGCTCTGCAGTATCTCACATTCACTCGCCCTGATATTACTTATGTCGTTCAGCAGCTCTGCCTCCACCTTCATGCGCCCTTGGGCTCCTGACACCAGACACTCTACTTCCGGGTACTGTATCTTTCTGGGCGATAACCTGATTTCATGGTCATCCAAACGCCAAGCCACCACGTCACGGTCCAGTGCGGAGGTAGAATATCGGGTTGTGGCTAATGCAGTTGCAGAGACATCCTGGATTCGGAATCCTCTCTTTGAGCTCCAGCAACCTCTACGGCGTGCCACCCTCGTCTTCTGTGACAATGTTAGCGCCGTCTACCTCTCATCAAACCCGGTTCAGCACCAGCGCACCAAGCACGTTGAGGTCGACATACACTTCGTGCGTGACAAAGTCGCACTCGGCCACATAAGAGTTCTTCACGTGCCTTCTTCATCTCAGTATGCTGACATCTTCACCAAGGGACTGTCTTCCCTGCTCTTCCTCGAGTTCAAGTCTAGTCTGGGTGTCAGACCACCTCCACCCCCGACGTAATATATTCTATATTTAATGTAAATATATTGTTTTCTATTATTCTCTCCTACCTTCTACCTTGTATAGGAATAGGAATCCTATGTATATATAAACACATGTACTCCCACATATTCAATCAATGAAAATAATCTTTCTACAATCAGAAACAAGAAAACACAGAAAAGATGAGAAATGGGAAGGAAATTGAGCTAACCAGACGACGCCAAAAGCGCCGCGTCCGACGGGCCTGAGGGGGACATACTTTCTGGAAACTTCGAAAAGGTTTCCGTATATATTGTACTGCACATACCGGCCGCCATGAGAGAGGACTCCATTGAAGTTGGTGCGATGAGCGTGGTCAGCTGCTGCGACTGAGCTCGACTCCGCCGCAGACATATCACCAATCAAGAACTACCTTAGAATCACAATGAACGCCCCTAAAATTTTCAAATCTTGCAGAACTTCAGGAGACTTGTCTTTGTAGGTGGCCTTGCGGGTGGAGGAGGAACAAGACCACCAACAGCAGACCAAGCAAAAGTATTTGGGGCTAGAGGTTACTGGCCAAGGAAATTTGACTTTTCCTAGGTTCAATACTTTTTGGTGTGTTTTTTTAACTTTTTTTTGGGATAAATTTAACGGATATGCTAGGGGTACACCACATGTGTACCCAGCTTGTACCACATATACCCCTCCCCCTCCCCCTTTTCTTTTCCACCACAAAATAGACCACTAGAGATGAGAAGCAACCGTCTCTCTCTTCTTCGACCAAAAGCATCTATTTCTCAGCGTTGCATCATCTCCTCCGCCGGCTGTCTCTTTCCTGTGGTTGCCACCACCACCTTACCCATTGCCATGCTGCATCAACTCCGTCGTCGTCTGCTCCTTCCCCGTCACCATCAACACCTCAATCTTTTGATCTGTTCAAATCAAATCCGTGTAAAAACTTCTTATTATGATTATTGTTGGTCTTAAGTGTTTATTTGTGACTTCTTGGAATCTGATTTAATATTTTTGTGAAATAATGATATTTCATCATTTTAAGAACCACACAGGTATATGGTGTCTGTGAGAAACTATCTCATAGAACTTTTACAATGAAGTTGCATAGATGATGAATATTTTCTATTTTGTAAGATTTGTGTTTTTTAAAAGTGTTTGAGGATCTATTAAATAAAAAAATTGAACAAGGTTGCGCTAATTTTGAATAATTGTGGAAGAGAATAAATAATGATTCTACAGACATTCTTTGTCTGTGAAATATATTTACACAGAGAGTAAATTTCTATTTTGATTCATATTACACAAATAGTAAATGTCTGTGTTCAAGAAAATAAGGACTTTTAGTGTCTGTGTGACTAAACAGTATTGATTGTAATTTTTCATTGTTTTTAAACATAAGAAAATTTCTGAAATGTTCTTGGTACAATAATATTTCGTAGATTTGAAGGGTGAAATTTTTATCTGAATTACACAAATAATAAATGTTCGTGTATCAAGAATTATAGATATTTAGTGTTTGTGTAACTAAACAGTGGTAATTATAATTTTTTTTTCTTTTTTACAATCTAGAGAAATTGTGAAACATTCTTTATGATAACATTATTTGGTATATTTGACAGATGTAAATTTGTATTTAGATTTTACAGACAATAAGTTTCTGTTTACGATGAATTACAGACGCTTGTTGTCTATGTGACCAAAAGATACCCCGTACTTAGTTTATTTTTACAATATAAGAAAAAATCATGATGTATTCTTATTACTTGGTATATTTGGCAAGTGCAATTTTCATATATTAGTTAGATGGAGAACAAAAGCGAGATTTGGATGAGAAGGGCACAAAGCACACGTTCAATTTCTTCGCCGCCACCGGCTTCCCCGTAATCGCCCTTTCCTCCCAGATCGCCACCGCAATCATTTTTGTCTTCAACAATGTAGTCGGAGCCACACATTTAATTTTTACACAGGTTAAATAGACAATAAATATCTATTTCTAATGAATTACAGACACTTTTGTCTATGCAACAATTTTCAAGAGTAGTGAAAGAGTTAACATATGACATCTTTCTTTTCAATTTTTGTAACACTTTTTTTAATACTAACACAACGTTTAAGCCTCCCCAATTATTACAACTTCAAAAACAGAACATTGAAATAAAATGGACTAATGGAGTATCTTTTTTTATGTGAATCATATAGTACAATTTACCAAGTGAATCATATAATACTTTTCCCTATTAAAAAGTTAATAAGAGTTTTACAATCCGATATATATGATCCTCTCATACAATTGTTCCCTAATTATATTTGTTGAAATATAAAGGCTTGATATTGAATCACCTATATGTCACTGATAACCTGCACAAATAATATACAAAAGTAATTAAAAAATAATAAAATTAAAGGGTCATTTGTTTGCACAAACTGTAAAGGTAAAGGTAATATCACAGACAAGATACAAACAAAATGGTTTGTCATCTTAGTTAAAATAAGGAGTTTAAACAAAAATAGAATATAGTTCCTTTAACATATGTGGACGACAGAAGTTCTTCGACAATACCTTGCAAAAACACATTCTTAACCCCAATATAAACAAGGAAAATTTATTCAATTACATTGATACATGAGTAAATATGATTTATCTTATATTTCCAGCACCTCCTAACCAAACTTTGAGAAGGATTTGGTGTAGTCAAATTGATACTCCAAGTCTGATGCCATTTTTTACCAATTGCACTCTCATGGGATTCATGTGCAATGTGAGTAGACACAATAGCTGGACGAGTAAGCTGCGACATTCATAGACATTTATTGTTTGTGAATGCTAAACCATAAACACTAATGGTCTGTGAGTGTTGTATTCAAAGAGATTAATGCAACAAAAACATTTTTTATCAAAATTAAAAATACAAGAGGAGATGAGTGAACTAAACCAAAGCCCTTAAAAATAACAAACACCTAACCCTCTGCAAGTTATCAGTGAAAACAAATTCTAACAAAAGGAAAATAATTGTACAATCGGCATTGCAAATGTAACATACAAAATCTTCCACCATTAGAGTATGTTCTTAATTTATAAGTTTTAAAAATTTAATTAAATACCTTGAGACATTCACTATCATTGAGTTGACATATCTTTCAAATACATGTAAAAAGCAATGTATATGTAGCTATCAAGACAATGAATAAAAGATCCAATGAGAAGCAGTTTAGAGACTTTTTATAGCAAGTGTTGAAACTAAGTAGACTCTTAATTGAAAAACAGGCATTCCATACCAGTAATAAGCACATCACAAACATTTTAGAGTAATTTTTCAATCAAAGCAAGTTTTTTCTTAGAATACAGACATTTTGTGCCAACAAGAAGCACATCATAGACATTTCAAAGCAATTTATGAAATTGAGCAAATTTTAAATAAAATACGAACATTTTTCACCAATAACAGACACTACACAGACATTTCGTCATAAACATGAAAAATTTCCAATTACCACAAGTTTTTAACAAAAAATCAGCCATTGAAAAGATTAAAAAAAGAATTAAATGACTGAACAAGTTTGAGAAACAATGATTCACAAAAAAACATTTAAAAAAGACTAATTTCACAAGAGGGAAGGATTGATTTGTGGTTAGAATTGAGTGATATGATTGAATTTGGCTTTACAAATAAAAACCCTAAAATTGAAATTAAAAGTGTTTATTATAACCTTTAATTTGTTGTTGTACGGTGATTAGGGCGCAGAAGATCGAAGAAGATGAAGGATGAAGTCTCCGCCAAGTTGGATCATCCACCGATGCACCAGACTAAGGAAGGCGAGTAGGCAATGTCACTACGGAAGAACGAAGAAGACGAAGGAGGATTCCGTTAGTTGCCCGCTCCATGCTTTCTTCCCTGGAGAGATCTGAGAGAGAGAGAGGGAGAGAGAAAAAAAGTAGGGGAGGGGTATAGAGAGAGAAGAAAGAGGGAGGGGATATATGGTGTACAAACGGTGTACACAAATGGTGTACACATAGCCTTTTCCTAAATTTAAGGCTACGTACTACTCCGTACATTTCACACCAAATCACATTTTCAATAATTTTATACTCTTTCCTCTTAGAATATCTATTCTATTTTAACTTTTTTTTAATTAAAATTGAAAAATTTTCACCTTAAGTTAAATAAGATTGATAGTATATTGGGAAAAAAAAGAATAATTTAATTAAGTGCATCTTGTAAAATAGTTTTAAAATTGATTTATCTAAACAATATACCATATACGAGTACGTTTTATTTACTTATAAATCAAAAATTAATTTATATAGGCTCAATAAAATCAAAACTAGACAGATACTCCTAAAAGAAGAGGAGAGTGTATTCCCTAACGCTAGGACGAACTCACTTGCAGAGTTCGTTGAAAGAATTCTCCAATTTTTAACGCTCTAATATTCTACAAATCCTCACGAGATAAAATCTCTATGTGGCATGCAACTTGCAAACAAACTAAATGTAGAATTATTTTGAGCCAACCGGTAATAGTTTAGATTGTTTTCATCACTTTTTCCTTTAAAAAAGTTATGTACCTTCATTGATCGGAAAATGGACGAATGGCTTCTGGTACCCCTTGTGCTCTAAAAAATGGGCACTAATGTCCCATCTTTATCAAACTTAAGTTGCACTCTCAATGTGTGAAATGTAAATTACAGGAGGAGATATGTGTAATGTTTTGAAATCATTAATATTTTATTAATAAAACTTGAAATTTAAAGAAAAAGAATATTATTATTTCACACTACACGAAACATTGAAACTATTTGCCCATAACTGGTAAGATATGAACTCTAACCTAGTACGTGCAGTGTAAGAATATCTCATTCTTTATATGTATATTCTTTATCGTTGCACTCAGAAGTAAAACTTGAAATTATCCTTTTAGCATTGTACTCCTCCTGTCCACCAACTTTTTTCTCACTATTATCCATAGTGTAAATTTTATTTACTCTGTATGCCTATCTTCGTTATCATTTGGTTAAATAATTTTGATTACATAATATAATCATGTCACATCTAATTTTGTATTTCCTCCGTTCTCAAAAACTCTTCCTCTTTCATTTTTTTTACTTCCAACAAAACACTTCAACTTTCTATTAAAAAACTACTTTCGCCCTTATTTTTTCATACCCTACCTATCACATCATACTTTTTCTCTCATACTCAATCCATCACATCTTACTTTTACCCATCACATCAAGGGCAAAATTGGAAGTCAACTAGAATTTAGCACTTCCTTATTTTTACACAAAGTCAAAATATGAACACTTTTATATAACGGAGGGAGTCAATCTTTTGATAAAATTCTTAAATATATACTCCTTCCATCCTAATTTATATTGCATGTTTCGGTTTATGATGTTTGACTAAATTTTCTTTCAAATAATTTTATATAAAAAAGGTGTAAAATTGTAAAATAAAAATTACATATTAAAATGTTACATCAAAATATCTACAAATCTAGTGGTGACATGACTATTTTATTTAATTAAATGACTACTAAAAAAGAGAAATAAAGTGAATAAAATGTGATGTATAAATAATATTTCGTAAATAAGTAATATAATTTGGGATAAAATTTGATCGTATAAATAAGTAATATAATAAATAAAGTGAATAAAATTTGATCGTATAAATAATAAATAGACAAATTTGCCTAGAATGGTACTAAAAGGCATCGGTTTTCCCCATCTAGAACCGTTTCCCTATTATTCTATTAATAGTACTCTTTTTTACATACAATCCCCAAATTAGCCTCCTAAATCGGACGGCCCATTGGCTCCCCCTATTCTTTTGCCGGCCTCTTGCAAAGTTTTTTTTTTACTTTTTTTTGAGTGCTCATCTTACGGAGAATAAATGTGATGCAATTTAATTATTTAGGGGCTGTTTGGTAACTTCTGAATGGGTAAGTGTTGAACCAGTAAGAGGTCTGAACCATTAAGTGCTGAACCAGTAAGAGGTCTGAACCATTAAGAGCTAGTATATTGTTTAACTATTCAGAGGCAAATGTCTGATCAATTCAGATAAGAGCGCTTAACCATTCAGACTCTGTATAATACTTAACCATTCAGAGGCAAATCTCTTAACCATTCAGACATCTGAACTATTAAGAGGCTGAAACAAACAGTCTGAACCATTAAGTGCTGAATCATTCAGACATCTGAACCATTAAGAGGCTGAAACAAACAGCCCCTTATTCTATTGTTCTAAAATATTGCATCTCCTGTTTTTTTGAGTTAGAAAAATTAACTTCTAAATTTTTCTGATTCTTTTCAATTTTTTCAGTTTTTTCCAATAACGACTAAAAAAGTATTTATATATATAATGAAAATACAATAACATTATATATCCAGATTTATAACAAACCACCTCAAACACGCAAATGAATAAATTTTTTTTACATCTAAAATTAGAAGTTTCTTACATATTTATTTAGTTGATCATTTAATTGAGTGAGTTCTTCCAATATTATTCAACTCTTTCAAATTTTTCCAAATCCTTCAAGTCTCTTCCAATATCCAACTTTAAATTTCCAACCCAAAAAAAGGGTCTTAATTGTGCCGCATCAACAAATCATTTTTACTGTGGTATTTTTTAAAAAAATGTTCTGTTAGTCTATTAGGACATTGAACGTTGTATATAAGGACATTAATCTTTGTGAATAATATTTATCCGAAGTGAACATTATTTAGGTGTGAATAAATGGGAAAGTTGCACAAAATTGTGTTAAAATGTATGTCTTTTTTTAATGTAGTACCTATACTTTTTGTTCCTTAAACAATACTTGAATAACATTACAATGTCCATTAGCAGTGGACAATTACTTTGAATAATGTCCAGTGATGATGGACATTTACTATAATAATGTCTAGTGGACATTGAACAATGATACTACATTGGGAAACTCACTATGTCCATTAGCAGTGGATAATTACTTTGAATAATGTCCCGTGATGATGGACACTTACAATAATAATGTCTAGTGGGCATTGAATAATGATATTACATTGGAAAACTCACTCTGTTTTAGTACTATATAAGTAAATTTTCCTAAATGTATAGTAAAGTATCACAATGTCCAGCAATGAATATATGGGCTTTAGATGAAGAAAGTGCAGAGGATATTATTATGGTTAACGGAAGATATTTAAATTGCGAAGACATTAAAATGGTGATGAACACTAATAGAGCATTAGGTTTAAGAAAAAGGTCATTAATCAATTTCTTATAACTGAGTATATTTTATCACACCCTTAATTAATTTTGAGTAGATAATGAATGGAAATTGATATTGATTTGTCACAATTTCACTTAATTGTGTTGCAACCCCACAAGGGTCTAAAATTTTTAATTTTTAAAAAATATTCTTTTATTCTCCTATGACATTGAACTCTGCATACAATGACGACATTAAATCTTGTGAACTATAATATTTATTCGAAGTGGACATAAATTGAAAGTAAGTGAACATTAAATTGTCACAATATCTCGGGAATGAATAGATGGACATTAGATGAAAAAAGTGCGAAGGATATTATTTTTGTATAGATCGAGGACATTTGAATCGCGAACACATTAAAATTGTGAAGGACACTAATAGAGCATTAGTTGTAAGAAAACTAACATCTACTAAATACATATATCAGAATGGATAATGAATGAGAGTAAGGATTAGTTCAATTATCACAATAGTTAATGGCTATAGAAAATGAGGACACTATTAGAAAAAAATAAATGACATTGAAATTTCAAAGATATAAAAATGCATTGAAGCTTCCAGGGTATGTGTCACCTCCTTCATGATCTCCCTCCAGCTCCGGCAAACTCCGGCACAAGCTACCACGCTCCTCCTAGACGGCCACTTCTCCTCCGACTCCTCCACCTTCATCAACACCTCCCTCAATAGATCTATCGGCATGTCAGCCCAGGAGCTCCGCCTCCGCCTCTTCCGCCGCCACCACCGAGCAGTGGCGGCGATTCTTGCACCTCGCCGACCCATAATTCCACCTTATCTCCCCATCGATTTCCAGAACTGTCTCTATAAGCAAGCTACTATTACGAAAATTACGGTCCATATGTGTAAGTAAAGCTCGATCTTTGGATGAAAAACGAATGCCAATTCTGGATTATTGATGCTAGGGCAGAATACACACTTATCTTTTATGTTTCGAGCTAGAGGCAGAAGACCAGGAGCACCGAAAGAGCATAAAGGGCATTATAGTCTTTTCGAGGTGATGACATCATTAAAAAAAAAGGTTTTGAATAGCATCGGTTCTATTTGTGGAAAATGCTATTCTTTTAGTACCATTTAGGGAATTTCCCCATAATAAATAAGTGATATAAACAAGGTGATGAACAACGATTATCTTAAAGAATATTATGAGTATGTTTGGAAAATATGGTTAGAGTTTAGTGTTAACGTTTTAGATAAAATTTTAACGGTACAGATTACTTTTAAAATGATAACGCTAAACGCTGTTCATAGATAACCTTTTTAAAACGATAACGTTATTTCCAAACAAGCGCTATGAAATTCAACTATTTTAAAGAAAGTGATTACTGGAATTGTTATTTCGAAAAGGCAAATCTAACCTCTAAACGCTGTCTTAGCAACCATGCTAGGGTTTAGGGTTTAGTTTATCCCAAGTCGTACCCCAAAGAAATGCAATGAGGTTTTAATTCAATTAAAACAAATTACAATGATATTTTTTGTCTAATCATTATTCCTTCAAAACTTTTTCTTCGGGAACACAAGAAGAGAATGTAGCTTAATTTCTTTTCTAAGTCACCCTACCCTATATTCATTGCCCCTCTCTTCCTCCAACTGAAATGGATTTTTGCTGATATTCTGCGCTCCCATGGCTCCTACATATCTACCGCGCGCGAACTGTAATATTTTCGTTTTTCCATCGTCTATGCAAAATTAACTTCGAAATTTCTGTTTTCCTACTCTGCTTGCTTGTGCGGACTGCTCATCTTCATCGCTCCATAAGATGCATAACTTTTTAGGGTTAATTTGATATTTTATTTTTCTGGTTTCGTAATGCTTATAAGGCATCTAGTGTGGAATTCGTTGCAGGAAGGCAAGAATGATTCTTTAAGTTCCTTGTTTGTGTTGAGTCGAACGAGCTTGCTGGGTTTGTATTAGTCTTCTATAGGGAAGAGTATATATATGCTTCACGCCCAATTGTAATGGCTGCAATTAAGTTTTCCAGATTGACAAGATCACTCAACCCATCTTTAAATTTTGCGAATGTCGTTGGTATTAGATCCTCATCACCTGCTTGTCTGAGTCATAATTATTGCCATGCGAGCGAGTCACGTAGTCCTACCCGGAATCATGCTTCTATAGGTTTTGGGGTAGTAGGTTTTAGCTCATATGTGAGTGGGTCATTGAGCAGTTATCCTTTAAGAGGTGTGTCTTTACTCTGGAGCAGTAGCCCTATATGGAGCAGCCGGTTGTATTCATCATCTGTAGGTGGTGAAGGGGGTACTTCTGGAGACTCAGGTTCTGTCATTTCAAGACTCAGTGGATCTAATATGGCTGGTATTGGTGGATCTGATATGGGTGAGTGGGGTATGAAGGCAAAAGAAGCCATCCAAAGTCTTGGGAATGCTGTGAGTTCCACAGGAGAGAAGGTCAGAGATGCTTCCAGTGACATAACACCTCACATACAGCAAATTCTTGATGCCAATCCACTTGAGAGATGTTGTTGCTCCCGTTAGTGGTACTTTGGTGTGTACTTTACTGGCTTGGTTAGTGATGCCAAGGTTTCTGAGGAGGTTTCATAAGATGTCAACAGAAGGGCCTGCTGCTTTGTTATCTGAGAGCTCAATATTGAAGCCCGTACCTTATGAAAAAAGCATCTGGAGTGCTCTGGAAGACCCTGTTCGGTATCTCATCACTTTTATGGCCTTTACCCAAATGTTAGTAAAATCTCTATATGCCCGTTATATTATTCTTCCCCATTTTAAGTCACTGTCATTTATTTGTGCCAAACGTGTGATTAGTTATTTTGAATCTGTTCATGCAATGGTGCTATGGTGGCACCAACCAGCGTTGCATCACAGTACATTCTGCCAGCTTGGAGGAGTGCCACTATTCTTACTTCTGTTTGGTTTCTACAAAGATGGAAGACGAATGTGATTAGCAGAACCTTAGCACTTAAGACCTTTGAAGCTGGTGATCAAGACAGGTTGTTGACGCTGGAGAAAGTATCTTCTGTTGGTTTATCTGCTATTGGATTGATGGGATTAGCTGAGGCATGTGGGGTGCCAGTGCAATCCATTCTCACTGTGGGAGGTGTAGGAGGTGAGAAGCTTTCATTTCATCAATATAACATTGTAAAGCCTTGTATGACATTAACTTGGTAATTGGTATGCAGGAGTTGCTACTGCTTTTGCTGCTCGAGATGTCATTGGAAATGTTTTAAGTGGGCGTTCGTTACAGTTTTCAAGGCCTTTTTCTATTGGAGATTTGATAAAAGTATGCCACATATTTGTCCCCTTAAACTGTTTTCAAGGCCTTATCTGTAAATGCAAATTTGTTGAATACTTTTGAGAAAGTGATTCAGGGTATTCGGTAGTTCCAATGCGATCAATTTTGAAAGCCATATGCTACTAAACCAACCCAAACATAATCCACAATATGAGATACATCTCTCTTAGGAGTACGGTCTTAGGAGTTGAGACTTTAGATGTTGCTCCTAAAGGGTCAAGTAAAATACTCCGTATAGTTATTGTTGAAAAATGTTGAATTGGAGCTGCATTTGAAAATCACACCGTAAAATGAGAGGATAGGCTTACTAAGGTCCATATCGAAAATGCAGAGTTGCTAGTAGTTCCATAAAGTTTAGGAGTCAAGTGTTTGGGTGAATATAATAGTGATCAAAATCAAAGAAGATATTGATTGACTTATTTTATGATTTCATCTGGAGTTATAACTTATCCTCTTCTAAAAATGAGTAATTAATTGCGCGAGCAGGCGGGATTTGTTGAAGGCCAAGTTGTAGAAATCCAATGTGAATGTGTTCTTGGAAAAGGAGGCGCCCTATTGTTTCTTGTCTAATCTAGAAAGAGGATAGGCAGAACTCACTCTCGGCTGCAACCTAAAACAAATGGTTTGTAAAAACTAAGAGCTGATCCGCTTCTTTTTTTTTTTTATAAATGTGATTTGTGGTTTGAATGTGGGCGTTCATTCATTCATCAAGCAACACGGCGCTTCTTTAGCCAACCCCTCTTCACTAAACATGTAGACACAGTTTTCTCAATATCATGTCAATTGACAATTAGGGATGTTGCTATAAGCCATGCCATTGTAGTATCCTCTTTTAAACTCCAGTTTTTTTCATTTTAGTGATGCGACTATAAAGCCATGTGTTAGAATATAAATAATTGTTCCTGGGTCACAACCATAAGCTTGAGTTTTTGGTTGAATTGGAGTCTCGTTGACTAAGAGATCACGGGTTTAAAACTCAGCGCCACCCAATTTAAAAAAAATTAAGGTTTCACGTGCAAGCCTCGAAAAAGACTACGCCTGCACGTGAGGGGGCGTGTTAGAATATAAATAATTGTTGCTTGGTAGCTCAAATATAATGTGGATTTGGAATTGATAGGGCAAAATATGAATTGGAATTGGCGAATTTAATTATATGGAATTGAATCCCATGGAATTTAATTCTATGGGATGTGTGATTTTCCTTCAGAAAACCTTGTACTGGACAACATAGAGCTCCAGATGTGTTCTTACACCAAACATTACTGAGATTCTCGATCATATAAATTAAAACAACATATGTAAACAAAATATTATTATTTGCTTGATGATGAAATGGAATGCTTAATTTGCAGCTTCGGTTTTAAAACAAAACACCAACACAACTTGATAAAGACAATATTAACCCCAGAATGGTTTGAGTTTGGAAATATACTTTGTTTGTGGTAAAAAGCAGAGGGGGCACCTGTAATACGGCGACTAGGATCAAAGACGAGCATTCTTTCAAGCAAATCCACTGCTCCGGGAGAAGAATTGGGGAATCTTCTAGAAAATGGCTCCCTTGGATACTGCGGAAGTTGTTTCACATACCGTCGAGCATTATCACTACGGAGAAATCCAAGGCTTGCATCATCCGGAGATCCTATCAGCTATTCAAAATGGAAGAAAATGGCCATAAAAAGCTCGACTATTCAATTTGCATAACGATATTTAATATATGGGGCATGCTAGGGGTACTCCAAAATGGGATACTCCATTTGTAGACCAGACAAACACAGACAAACATAGACACTAAGTGTGTGTACAAATGGGGTACCCCATTTTGGTGTACCCCTAAGTTAATTCTTAATATATAGATATAGTACCTGTGTGACGAGTTTTAACTGGTGAACGTAATCTCTTCCGGGAAAAAGGGGTTGCCTTGTCAGGATTTCACCAAGTATGCAGCCTACAGACCAAATGTCTATTGCGGCAGTGTACTCTGAACAGTTCAAGAGCAGTTCTGGTGCACGATACCAGCGAGTCACAACATATTCGGTCATGAAGTCTGTCTCAGATGTTGTCCTCGCAAGCCCAAAGTCTCCAAGCTTCAGGTCACAATTAGCATTCAGGAGCAAATTGCTGGGCTTCAGATCTCGGTGCAACACATTCGCAGAATGAATGTACTTGAGCCCACGCAATATTTGGTAAAGGAAGTACTGATAATAACAATAATAATACAGCAGCAATGTAGAAGTCAAAGTCAATGCAGATGATGATGGTGATGATAAAATGATGCGATTTATAGGAAAAACGGGTCGTACCCGACAGTGATCATCAGCCAATGGCTGGTTAGATCGAATAATTTGATTAAGATCAGTATCCATTAGCTCATAAACAATGTACACATCATTGAAGTTTTCCTTCTGAGGAGGCCTTATGATGTCTTTAATCATAATTACCTAAACATAAAACAGAAAGTTAGTTGACGCAAGTGCACAATCACAATGCAGATGGACTACTTGCTTGCTGCAGACCAGATTATGTATTTTCAGTTCCCTAAATTAAGCCATATATACACAAACACTAAAGCTCACTGCAGAGACACATACACACATACATTATCATGATCCATGTGGCTGAGGAGTTTTATCTCCCGTAATGTCCTTTTCGCGTCGATACTATTGTCAAATGCATTCCCAATCTTCTTTATGGCAACTTCCTCATTTGTCACCGAGTTCATAGCCGCGCTGCATAAAAATGAACGCGCACAGTGAATCTTGATTACAAAAACAAATCTTTTGTAAACAAAGACCATCTTTTTTCGCAAAAACATAATTCCAGTATTTGTCATAAATGGAGTGGTTTTGCCAAACTTACTAAAAATGATTCACACCTCAATCAAACTATCTAGCCACTAGGCCTCATTTGGAAAGGTACTCAATTGCTGGAATTCTCATCATTCCAAACATGCTTTTCAACTAATTGGAGGTCATTTGAGTCTCACTGATTCATTTAATCCCACCAACCAAATCAATCCAAACTGGGCCTACTATTCTAGTAAACAAAATCCAATCTTGAAAACAACATGCGGAAGAACAGCATAAAATACGAAATCCAAATTGACAAGAACACAATCACGATGATGAAATCAGAAACAAGAAAACACAGAAAAGATGAGAAATGGGAAGGAAATTGAGCTAACCAGACGACGCCATAAGCGCCGCGTCCGACGGGCCGGAGGGGAACATACTTCCTGGAAACTTCGAAAAGGTTTCCGTATATATTGTACTGCACGTACCGGCCGCCATGAGAGAGGACTCCATTGAAGTTGGTGCGATGAGCGTGGTCAGCTGCTGCGACTGAGCTCGACTCCGCAGCAGACATATCATCAATCAAGAACTACCTTAGAATCACAACGAACGTCCCTAAAATTTTCAAATCTTGGGGAACTTCAGGAGACTTGTCTTTGTAGGTGGCCTTGCTGGTGGAGGAGGAGGAGGAGGAACAAGACCACCAACAGCAGACCAAGCAAAAGTATTTGGGGCTAGAGGTTACTGGCCAAGGAAATTTGACTTTTCCTAGGTTCAATACTTTTTGGTATGTTTTTTTAACTTTTTTGGTATAAATTTAAGGATGAGTATTAGAGATGTAAACAAATCAAATACTTTTAGTTCCATTCGTGATTTGTATTTGAATATGATGATTCGAATTCGCATGATTCAAATACAAATTCAAATTCAAATATCAATTTTGATTCGAATATTAAACAAATACAAATACAAATAGGAGTATATTCGATTCGGGTGATATTCGAAAATTCGAATATATGTATATACACACAAACCATGTCTCAAGATCAATATAGTCAAGTAAAGTAATATAGATAGATTATTAAAAATTCAACAAATTAACGTAACACCAAAATCTAAAGCATATACTCCCTCCGTCCACCTAAGATCTTCCCATTACACGTTACGAGGCTTGACCGACTTTATTTTTAATTCAATTTAATTGATTATAGGAATAAAATTTTAAAATAAAATTTAAATAGTAATAAACTACATGAAAAGTTTTACAAAACTAGAGGTGACAAGACTATATTATTTTACGAAATGACTAGTAAAAATGATCAAACAAAGTGAGTGAAGTTTGACCCTGTGAATAATAACTGGGAAGATCTATGGTGGACAGAGGGAGTAATTTTTAATAGTTATATTTTATAAAATATAATTTGTGTGATGTGAAAGTGTATTAATGTTTTTAGATAAAGTATAAGAAATATTGTAAGTTAAATTATTCAAAATCTATGTTGGTCTATCATATAAATTACGCAGTATGATTATTAAAGTATTTGTTTAGAATTCGTCAAGTATTCGAATATTAATCAAATACAAATTCAAATCTTATTTTTAATTCGTCTCATATTCAGATTCGTATTCGTATTCGAAAAAATTAAGCAAATACAAATTCAAATATCTTGATATTCGCTTCAATTCGGTTCGTTTACACCCCTACTGAGTACTACATTTCATACCAAATCACATTTTCAATATTTTTTATACTCGTTCCTCTTAGAATATCTATTCTATTTTAACTTTTCTTAATTAAAATTGAGAAATTTTAACCTTAAATTAAATAAAATTGATAATATATTGAGAAAAAAATAATTTTATTAAGTGCATCTTGCAAAATATTTTCAAAATTGTTTTATTTAAGCAATATACCATATATGAGTAAGTTTTATTTACTTATAAATCAAAAATTGATTTATATAGGCTCAATAAAATCAAAATTAGACAAATACTCCTGAAAGAAGAGGAGAATGTGTTCCCTAACGCTAGGACGACCTCACTTGTCTCCCAACTTTTAACGCTCTAATATTCTACAAATCCTCACGAGATAAAATCTCTATCATGTGGCATGCAACTTGCAAACAAACTAAATGCAAGTGAGTGTTGCGCATTTGACAAAAGCAAAGAGTGCCAAAAGGAAAAGACTTGAGTTCGATTCATAACAACTGTATTAAAAGACAACTATGCTAAGCATAAAATCTCTACAAGTAACAAGTATTGATTGTACTTTTTGTCACCAATCTGCGATTAAAATCAAATTTACATCTTCTCAGCAACCGTCCGGCCAGGAGAGGACCCTCAGAGATGGGGCTCATCTTTTTCTTTTTCTTTTTCTTTGCAAGCAAGCTAAATACTTAAAGCTGGAATTCCCTTTTGTTTATTCACCACAAGGCTGTGAATAGTGAATACTCTTCTCTTTTGCATTTTTTGAGAAGGAGCATTAATGTTGATCAAATCAGAGATCAATTATGGACCCGTTCTTAATGATAATAATGGTTTACAAATGTTAGTGATATTGTTATTGCAAGACAAATCAGACCCCAACTATTTATCACAAACATTGCTTCGCTCTACACGTTTTGGCAATAAGATTTTAACTGTTGAAACGCCACACACATTGAATCCAGAACACATCATACCCCACACACACACGCACAGCTAAGCACCCCCTCTCTGTGAAGAAGAAGAAGAAGAAGAAAAAGAAGAAGGAAGAAGAAGAAGAAGAAGAAGAAGAAGCTTGAATATGCTCCTATAGTTAGCTAGTATTTATTATTCACAGAATTTACCCCTCCACTTGATTTTCGGTCTTGCATTGATTTTGATACGTTATTGCTACCAACTCTAATGTTCGAAAGCATCGCATTTCGCCCCGTCAAAATAACATGGAAAAACCCGTCCACTTCCTTGGCCAACAGATCGAGTCCTTCCGAAAGTACATCGGCATTCTTTCTTAACTCTGAAGTTACATTTTGCAATGAGAACCCTCCTCCAACCGCGTCAAGGTCTACCCCTGGTTCCACTATGGGGTATAGCTTCTTCACACTCGCGTCGACAGCTTCAAGCTCCTTCAGCCTGGTCACCCCTCCGTTGTCCCTTATTTCATCGTTAACTGAACTCTGAAGATCAACAAAAGCTTCGGCCCACAAACAACCCTCAAGAACCTCAAAACCCTTCTTAATGTTTCCTGAAGAGCCCGAGAAGGCAACAGCCACTACACTGCAGAGGAAAATGGTAACCACACGCACGCCATACAGAGCTCTCATCAGAACTCTTTCTTTCCCAGAATCTTTCTTCTTAGGGAACTTCAGGCTCTCAACGAGGCGGTCCAATGTCACAAAGCAGTTCTCAAGCCGTGGATTTCCAGAATCCAAGCGCCACCTCCATCCTTCCAACAACGATTGTGCTCTTGCAAACTGCTTTGGCTCACCTTCTAGGGTCTGCACCGTGGAACGGAGATAAAGATTGCTTTGGTTAATCCTGGAGATCTCAGAGCTGAAAGCAGTGCAGATATCAAGCAGGCTCACGCTGTTCTCCATATACACATCAATCCACTTCTCATCCCAACCACAAACTGGAAGTTCAAGTTCTTTAACCAGGGCTCTGACACTGGTATGTATTGTTGAGAGTGAAGCCATCACTTCTTTCATCCATGATAGGCTGAAGGCGCGTGCCCCGCATCCAGGCTTGAGACATTTGAGCTTCTCAGCCAATGATTCCTCAAAAGCATTCAACAGAGAAAGGAGCTTTGGGGACAGGTGCGATGAGCCCTTGGGCAATATCATTGAAAAAGGATTCTTGAATGGAAAATGAGGACGGTGAGGATCTTGTGGACAACTCATTCTACAGCGTAGTGAAACTGCATAGAAATTGGGAAGCAAGATGAGAGTAGGCATTACATAGCTAAGCTTTTTTTGGTAAATATTCCTAGTATCATTTCTTTTCATTCAGTATCTGGATATCTCCAAGCTGGGAACGCTAGGAGGGTTAGATAAAAGATACTCCATAAAACATATTTCAGTTATTCACGCATGTTTGGAAATGTTTAAGCTGATGGTCTATCATAAACAGCCTCTACGCCCATCATGAATAGAGGTAATAACAGATTAACAGTCCATGAGCAGAGTAAACACGAGATATTAGGATTAAGCGGGCGAATTCGGGATAAAAGGGAGCTGAAGAACAAATTTTCAAATAAAAATGGTCAAGCAAAACTATAACAGACGCCGTGCATAAATTTTCCATAATTTCTTTGATGATCTACTGCCCATGGGGACTTCCAAATACTACAATTTAAGACGGTGCTTTTAATTTTTAGGCATACGAACATGACAGATTAACAGTCCATGAGCAGAGTATACACGAGATATTAGGATTAAGAGGGCGAATTCGGGATAAAAGGGAGCTGAAAAACGAATTTTCAAATAAAAATGGTCAAGCAAAACTACAACAGACGCCGTGCATAAATTTTCCACAATTTCTTTGATGATCTGCTGCCCAAGGGGACTTCCAAATACTACAATTTAAGAAGGTGTTTTTAATTTTTAGGCATCCGGACATGACATTTCATTTCAACAAATCACTAGCAGAATTGGGAAAAACCACAATCAATGATTACCTTACAGTGGAGAAATCACAGACACAGTAATATAAAAGAAACCATTTTTTTTCAAAATCAAGGTTCATGATTATAAAAGAAATTTCAAGATCAGTATATATGACAAACAATCGGAAACATAGATTAAAAAAAAGCGCACCGGAGATTGAATCGGAAACTGATTGACGGAGTCAACGCCGCCGATGATTGACGAGCAAAATTGAGATTTGAGAAGGGTCAGACACCAAGCCTTACTTAAGCACGCAGATTCAAATCAGATACCTGTGTACTCCTATATAACACAGCGATATGTATATAAAAAGATAGGGAGAGAGAAGAGAGCCGTACGAGTGAGGATGTAGAGAGAGAGCGACAGGGAGGAAGGAGAAGGTTGCACGCACACGCGTCGGAGGCGATGTTTGGCTTCAAGCATTGGGAATTTTTCTGGAGATTGGGCAGTCGGCCATGTTTGGTCTGCCCGTGATTAAGACAATGTGGGAGCGTTAGATTGACAAGTTGAGACCATCAAACCACCGTTCGATCGCCCTTGTTCAATGGCCACTCAAAATAAGTAGTCTCAATAGGGTTGTTCATGTTTAGGTCCGGATCAAAAAACTTGACTGAACTAGACCGTTATGTCTTGACCAAATCCGGATCGAATAGATTTCAAGTCGGTCTTCGCTCTAAAAAACATGAGGTATTCGCCCTATTCGGGTTTCGATCTAGTCCAAATCTGAAATGATTTAGGTCCAGACTGATTAGATCGACTGGACCTAATAACCCTACTAGACATAAAAGGCCTAAATACTAAAATTTTGCATTTTAAGTTCCATATTACACTTTGATGCTCTATTTTAATATTTTAATAAATATCTTAATTTATTCATTGAAAACGGTATTTATTAAGTAATTTTTAAAAAAATGAAAAAATATTATGATTTTACTTAAAAATAATACATGTTGTGTATCTATTTTTAGGTTTCCAAATATTTTCTATTTGCACGGTACAAAATAAAAAACCTAAAATATATTTAATTCATTAAAATAAATAAAAATATACTCCAGAGTATATTTTTAATTGGTCTTATTGTTCCGAACTGGTTCGGTCTGAAGTATTTCAGTCCGGTTTGGTCTAAACTCGAATAGATTTAGGTCAGGTCTTCGATCTGTGATTTTATTCAATTCGGTCTTCGATTCGGTCAGGTTTGATCCAATCTTGGACCAATGAACAGCCCTAGCCTCAAGAACATTGACTCATTTGAAATAATTTCAATGTTTGGTTAAATAAATTGATAGTTCTTGCCAATCGTAAACCCATTTGCCCATCAAGTCTTGATACCAATCCATTTCGTCACCCACATCAATTGCAGGGTGCAAGTTTTGTTGACTTTGATATCAAAATCTAGTACCCAAAAGTCAATTAAATTTGCACAGTGCAATTCACGTGGGTGATGGGCACCGTAAGTATGTTTATCGAGTGATTAAAGGAGGAGGAATCATCAATTTTGTTAATAAAGCACCGTAAGTATCTCAATTGAGTTGGTGTTCGCATAGACAACTCAGTTTGAGTGGCTATTGAACTCAGTTGTTTGCCAATAATCCTCATTCCCTCCCATCTCGAGTTTCTTTTTTTAAATATTTCTTTATTTGTTTGGAAATAAAATAATCCCTCCATTCGGAATTGAACTTTCTAATTTGACTTGTATTCGTGTTAAGGTGGAATTGTCTAAAATACTCATCACACCCTTCCCACTGTTAGTCCCCCACCACTTCCAATCGCCCCAATCCCACCACTTCCGCCAGCCCTTGCAATCACTGCGTACGACTGTCAACCTAAACATCACTACCAGCCTCCGCCATCGTAGATCCAGAAAAAAGAGATGACAAATGAGTAAGAGAAAAGGAGAAGGAGACGAGGAGGAGGGCGCGTATGAGGATGATTGAGGCACATATCATACCTGATCGTACGGTCACTGAGAAGAGTTAAATTAAACTTGAATTGTAGATTGGTGGTAGGGAATGAAGTCTGCACCTGGTACTAACAGAGGTCATATGCTTTTACACAGTTGCCTGTAACGCAATTGTCAAAAATCAAAATCAGGCCTACCCCTTAACACTTGCAATCCAGCTAAATTATACCATCACACATGATGATAGATGGAGTCGAGTAAGAATAAATTTTTTTACTCGTCATTCGATTCATCCACCGATATGTATTAGGAATAATTAGTATTTATTTCTTTATTATATTGTTACTATCACTCTTCTCCTACTATGTTTAAAACTCTCTCTTCCAATCTCTATCTATATATAAGATGTATCCTTAAATATTTAATAAGACCAATTATTATCTTATTATATCATTGTATCGGAGCTAAGGTTTTCAAAACCTAACCTTTCGCGGTCGATCGTTTGACAGCATGGCATCACCGACCAATCTCGATGAGCATGTCTAACAACCTTCGTCGAAAAATATCTATTATCTCTCTCTTTTAAAAAAACATGTGTGTGATCAAAGAACGAGAACAGTTACATTTGTCTGTGTGTTTTTTTTTGGAAATTGAGGACATGGAAAGCGATAGAGAAGCATAGAACGGGTTAAAAAAGAAAAAAGTTAAAACTATTTGCCCTCGCTTTAATCGCCAATCCTCTCACCGGGGAAACTCAGCAAATGTGATCTCAAGCTCGTTCATCATGCAATAAAGATGCGATTCTCTATTTCTAGAGGCTATCCTCACAAAACTACTCCGACCGATTAATTCTAATACTTGTACTTCAAGCTGCTAATCGTTACCTGTGATTAGCTGCTTGCGGGATATTAAGAATAATATATGTATTAAAAATATAATTTTATTATATATTTCTTTAATGTATTGTTATTATAATTCTTCTCCTACTATTATTAGAAGTCTCTTTTGTAATCTATATTTATATATAAAGATGTGTCATTCAATATTTAATTCGACATATTATTATCAAATTTTATCGATATATAAAGTGAATTAATAGTTCTTCGACTATAAATACACAATTTTATTATTTATTTTATACGAAGTACTAGAGAGTAGAGAATACGGTGTAGTATTTTAAACAAATGAATATGAAAAATTAAAAGTGTTGTCTCGTCTAGATTAAATCCGCGTGAGAGAAGAACATAGAATTGAAAATTGCTTTGTGTCAACCTCAAAGAGATAAGGATAGTGGTGGGGGGCTTTCGTAATGGTTTGCCTTCTCATTGATGAGGCATTAGATGATTAGACTACTACCATTGGGGTATTAAAAGTAGACTACTTTTCAAATGAGAGATAAACAAACTTTTCTCCAATTTTGCCTTCTTTTAGTAAGGAATTTGTATTCCCTATCTCAATATTTCCCCTGTCTCAAATTAAATTATTTGTTTATTATTTAAAAGATTAGATTTTATTTATTTTTCTTTTTATTTTTATTAATTATTAGGTAAAATAATATAGTTATACTACATTATTTCGTAAAACTTTTAATATAATTTTTAATATGTAATTTTTATTTTTAAATTTCACACAAACTCTAAAATAAATTATCTTGAAATTAATTCAGTCAAATATAGACAAACAAAAACAGATGATTTAAATGAACATGGATGGAGTAGACTTTTTTTTAAGTTAAGATAACTTTAAGTTAGTATGATTTCTTCGATTATTTAATATAATAAAATAGTAATATTAATTCATTTTGTAAATGTTTTGATATAATTTTTAAATATATAAATTTCAAATACACCAATTTCCAAATAAATAAATATCATAATTCTTTCTTAACTTTTAAGCTCTCTATCCCAAAATAGGACGAAATGTTATAATATAAAAAATATTTTTTAGGCCACAAGTCCACAACCACAAACTCGAGCTTTTTTTGCTTGAGTTGGTTCTTTCAACATGGTATCGAAGTAGGTCCAACCCGAGGTCGATGGTTCCTGGTTGTTTGGATGTTGGTTTAGCAAAATGAGATACTTGTTCGTGGTTTGGGTTTACTCTGCTATAAGAGAGTGAGAAGCAACTCCCTATTTTGCGGGCTAGATAAAAGATATTAAGATGTCAGACCCGTTTGTCTAAGTGATAATTAGATCATTCTAGTTATCACTTGAGGAAGAGTGTTGAAATAACCATATCAGAAAATAAAGAAGAATACCACTAGCATATATAAAAAGGAGAAATCTTACCTATCAATTTAAGCTTTTGGGTTAAAATAGTGGATCCCAACTTTATATGCAAGTAGTTCATTTAACCAACATTCCCACCTTGGACCGATCTTTGCCAATTCATCCACCATTGCCTCATTTGCCAGTTTTCGTGTTGGACCGAACACGAAAACTGGCAAATGAGGCAATGGCGGATGAATTGGCAAAGATTGCAACAATTTAACTTTTTTTATCAAATTGTGATATCCTTTGACCATTAACTGAATATAGTTTAAATAATTAAATATTTAAAAAATTTGATATTTTAAAAAATATTCTAAATTAAACCCAATTTTATTAAATTTACATTATAACCAAATATACTTATTCTATAATTTACGGTCAAATGTTGTTATAGTTTAACCAAAAAAATCAAATTATACTAATCTTCTAGGGAGTAAAAAGTTATGGAACTTATGAATCCCACCCAAATTAATACTCCCTCTGTCCCCAATTTTATTACAATTTTTTTTCTCCTCTCAATAATTTTTGTTTGTTTACGCAAATTCATTAAGTATTTGATAAAATAAAATATTCTTGTTACCTCTTGTTTTGTAGAACTTTTGATATAGTTTTTTAATATGTAATTTTTATTTTTTATCGATATATCCATTTATAAATACAATGATTTCAAATAGTGAGATGATTCTACTTGTAAACCACAATTTGTAATTAAATTGGGGACAGAGAGAGTATGGAATGACATTACGAAAAAACGAGGAATAAAAATGTACTCCATCCCTAGTATTATTAGATTCTTTACTCTGATTTTTTCCATTTTTAATACAAATTAAAAAATTAAATGTTAATTTTACCATTTACTACATTCGTCTCAAAGTATTCGTCCAGTTTGACTTTTTTCGAGTCAAATCGAATGAACTTTGAGGCTCTATTAAATAAAAACTACAATGTATATTAGTATAATAATGATTTTGTTAGACTTAACTTGTTTAGAATTGTTGGGTTAAGGAATCCGTGGCCTAGGAGACTAGGCGAAAGAGTATGAAACTAAGTCGAGAATGCTCAAGTTATGAATCAAGTAAGATTGTAAATATTAGTGCGTAAGAA